CTGCCGCACCCTCCCGGTCAGTGTCGGGTGAGGACGGAGCCCTGGGGGGCTGTTGCTTTGAAAGTTGGAAGAAACTTGTCTCTCCGCTGCTCCTGATTTGCCTGCTGTAGCACATGACTTCGCCAAGATGTCACCTTCCGTGGGACATCTTGCAGACCCTAGGCTTCAGTGAACGGGAAGCAGCACTTCAGTGTGCTTTCTTCTAAACTGGTCCCAACGCCAAAATGTTTTCCCCCCTAAAATCGTTAATTTTATAAGATTTGGCAACGCATTGCTTAGCCCAGGAGACTGCTCCGCTAGCTGAGGGAAATGGTATTTCTCGCTTTTGGGAGATTACTTGCTGTTCTCAGGCTAGTTTCCTATTACTATGAACTTGAGAATAAGACCATCTTAAGTGATTTTATTGAAATCCTTAGGGATTTTTTTATTTGCAGTTGAAAATTGGCTGCGAATGGGGAGGCTTTGTGTCACTTCAGATTACTTCGAGTCAACTTCCCAACGTATCAGAAGCAAATACACTTTCCTCTTTACCTTGAGAATCAGAGTTTGCAGTAAATTCGGATTGTTTTATTGCTTGTTGACACCTAAGGCTCTCTGCCGTTGGTTTATTTCAGTGATTTAAAGTAACCAACATTCTGGATAACCCCCCTCCCAAGCATTTTTGGGTATTGAATGTTGTGAAGTATTTTTAAATCTTGTATGAGACAGTTGATTGGATTCACAGTATTTCAAGCCAAAAACTTAGTCATGCAAAAAGGGCTTAACCCAGAACCCTAATTGACTCCTTGCTGCCCATTTCCTATTAGGAATTGAAAACATCACATGTTATATGTTAGACTTTTCACAGAGTACCAGCTTTAACTAGATTTGCCCTCATGGTCTCAGCATTTTCCTGAAGGGGACAAGGAGTCATTGAAATGTTTTGCCACTTTGTGGCAAATGAAATGCCACTGTGACAGTTGCTTTTTATTCTGTTATCCAAATAACCGTGAGTAGCCCTGAATCTGTTAATCTGGTCAATTTTATTTCCTGCTGGGAGCCTGGCTCCAAGAGTTAAAACATTGTCCCTGAACAAATAACTTCTCAGGTGCAAGAATTATGTACATTCATTGAATTATGTTTTCTGTGCATAGCACTGTGCTAAGATTGTAGCATACTGAAGAAATACACTTTTTAGAAATTTTTATTTACTTGAAAGGGGGAGGGTGGGAGCATGACGGGGGAGGGGGGTGGGTGCTGAGCAGAGGGAGTGGGAGAAGTGACTCCCCGCTGAGCAGGGAGCCTGATGTGGGGCTCGTTCCCAGGACCCTGAGATCATGACCTGAGCGGAAGGCAGACACTTAACTGACTGAGCCACCCAGGTGTCCCAAAATACATTTCTTTTAACAAAACGTGTGTTTTATATTTTTATATATGATTGTCTTAAGATAATTTATGTGAATGTTTCAACCTGATGAGCATAAGAAACTTTGCCACTGACTTGTCACCTTTTTTGTTTTTCTAAATTCACAAGTAATTTCTAAGTTTAGGGTAAGTTACTCAGAATACTTTAAACAAATACAGAAAAAGCTACTAAGATTGAGTCAGATCATTATAGAATTTTAGAGCTGGAGAAACCTTAAGGTTCTCAAGTCCAGCACCCAGAGTCCTAGCTATAAAATCCTGGGCAGCTTCTACAACTTGAATGTGTATTCTAATAGCTTAACAGTTTTCCAAGTAGCCATTCCACTGTAGATAGCTCTGAATGGTAGGAAACTGTCTGTAATTTACTTTAAGACATGCTGTCTTTGAGGAGTTTTTTGTTTTGTCTTAAATTTTATTTTTTAGTGATCTCTCTACCCACTATGGGGCTCAAACACAGGACCCGGAGATTAAGAGTCTCATGCTCTTCTGACTGAGCCAGCCAGGTGCCCCAAGACATGCTGTCTTTGGATTGGATCTAGGGATCTTTAGGAAATCTCTCTCAGCCCTATGACTTTGTTGCTGTTTTAGGCAAAACTACATGAATCTGCCTTATTTTTGTGTGCCCCTAATTGCAGATATCTTTGATTTCCCCTTTTTTTTTTTTTAAAGTATTTTCCCACCCTCTTCCTTGCCTAAAGACTGTCCTAATGCCATGAGGAGAGATCCTTGGTATGGGTGGAATGGATCTGCCAGGGACTATGCCACTCTCAACTGCTCAGCTTTGAATGAGAGTGGATCTAGGACAGAGCCAGCAGCTGTGGGAAGAGGGGTCAGGTATTGAGCTGCTGGAACAGTCTACTGCTAGACCCCCCCCCAGTGCACTATATCCAGCAGGAGCAGGAGTTTGTGGCAATCGCAGCTGCTTATTCTGTTTTCCAAATAACAGTGAGTAGCACTAAATCTGTTAATCTGTAACAATTAGTTTCATAGTATAGTGGTTCTCTGCCACAATCATAGCCATTCTATTAAAAAAAAAAAAACCTTTCAGTCATTTTTTGCAATCTATGCCCTTTGCTACCTAATAAAAATACTAGTTTATGTGATCTAATATTTCTAATGAGTACAGAAGAAAGGATCTTGGGGAAGAAAGGTCATGGTGAAGTGGGGCTACAGGTGTTATGTTGAATTCTGAGTGATATCAAGAGCAACAGCTGTGGCAGACAACAGAATTGCTGAATAAATATTGGGATGAGTATTTATCATTGGCATCTCATGGGATTAAGCATTTTGAAGTGATTGTGCAGCTTTAGGAAGATTATTACCGTACTTGAACTAGTTGTCACGGAAAAGTGTTCTTCCTTTGTTGTGTTTAACTTGCCCTGGTGACACAGATCCAGTGTGTATTGGGGGGGGGTGGCAGAGCAGAAATTTCCACTATATTGAAGTTGGTAATGAGCTAAAATGCTTTATCTCCAAAAGAAGCCTCAAAATTTCAATGACATCTTTTAAAAAAATCTATTAAATGTAAAGCATTCTTTAACTTTGGCGTCTTTAATGGTGCCTATTTTTGGTTCATTTCATTCTGAGGCTTTTATTGGGCTAGATATCCAGGATGATTGAGTTTTTAATTAATTTTCCCCTCCTAGGAGGAGAATGGTTTACTTGCATTGTCTTTCACATGTTTTTTTCTAAATTTAGGCCTTTCTTAGTCACAGCATATAGTGCTTTATTTTAAAATATTTGCATTGCTGTATTTTCAAAGTCTGTTTTAAACCAAAACACCTATATTTCATTTACTTATTGTTGAGTCAGCATTTAGATCTTAATTCCTTCTTTGTGATGTTTTGTTTTTTTTTAAAGATTTTATTTTTATTTATTTGAGAGAGAGAATGAGATAGAGAGAGAGATCATGAGGGTCAGAAGGAGAAGCAGACTCCCTGCTGAGCAGGGATCCTGGGACTCCAGGATCATGACCTGAGCCAAAGGCAGTCGCCTAACCAACTGAGCCACCCAGGCGCCCGATTCCTTCTTTGTGATGTTTTAAACAGAAGTAACTTTAGAAGTAGCAGAGGTGGGAATAAAGAACTAAGTCGTATAAAGGTTAATGTGGGTTTTGTACAGTCTGGTCCTTGATAAGAAGTAAAGTTGTTTCGTTTTTTTTATTTTATTTTATTTTTTATTTATTTAATACAGAGAGAGACAGCGAGAGAGGGAACACAAGCAGGGGCAGTGGGAGAGGGAGAAGCAGGCTTCCTGCTGAGCAGGAGCCTGATGCGGGGCTCGATCCCAGGACCCCGAGATCATGACCTGAGCCTGAGCCGAAGGCAGATGCTTAACTGAGCCACCCAGGCGCCCCAGTTGTTTCTTAATCTACAATTGAATCAAGGTCTGGCTTCACCAGTTACTACCTGTGTGATCTGGGAAAGTAATGTTTAGCTTCAGTTTTTCTTATCTATAAAAAATATAGGATTGTTAGAATTTAATGAAGTCATACAAATGAAAAGAATTTCGTAAATGGTGAGGTGATACACATTATTTGTTATAGCAATTTTTAGGAAAGTACCATAAATATAGATTAAGGTTCATATTTCCGTTTTAGTAATAAACTCTATGCATTTTCTTAACTTCCAGGCAAAAGGTAACTTTTTTCTTTAAGATTTTATTTATTTGAGAGAGAGAGAAAGAACATGACTGGGGGGGGTACAGAGGCAGAGGGAGAGGGAGAAGCAGACTCCCCGCTGAGCAGGGAGCCGGATGGGAGAATGGATGCAGGGCTCCATCCCAGGACCCTGAGATCATGACCTGAGCCACCCAGGGGCCCTGCAAAAGGTAACTTTTAACTTTAATTTGGGATTCAGAATTAGTATAGGAACTACAGAAATAACTGTAGTATATTTAAACTGTACCTTACTGTAGCTTTAAAATGAATGGTAAGTGAATTCCTTCATTCAACGGAGTTGAATAAGATACTCTGTTCAAAGTTCAGACATAAAGCCTTTCTCTCATTGCCTGGACATTTTAAATAACTTCTAGAGCCTGTCCTTTTGGTGAATATATTTCTTGCCAGTGGGAGTTTGGATATGAAGTTCTAAAAATCAGACTTGATATTATTACCACGTTAACCTTTAAATTATTTAGTTCATTATTCCTACCACAGCTAATTCTGAGGTTACTGCTGTTTAATAAGATCTTTAAATATGGTAAAATTGTACCTTTCGAGAGAAATTGTCCTTATGGTCAGGTAATTTGTGCCAAAATATGAACTTTCTTTGGGACTTCTAAGCAGGAAAACGGAATGTGCAAAACCAACTGTTGTTTTTTCTGTGCTCAGATAGAGATGTCACAAGTGGGAGAGAGTGTAGGAGGGTTTAATTAATTTATAGACTATATTTAAGAATTGTTCCTAACATACTAGTATGCAAATTCAGAGGATAATCTGTGGTCCACAAAATTGCTAGTAGTTGAAGGAAGCTGAGAAGAGTCTAATCTTCAAATTTAGCTAAATCATGGATTATCTGAGCTGTTAGGTCTCTGGGGTTAAAAAAAAAAAAAATTCCTTTTTCCCTTTGGAAATAGTGGTCCCTATGGCAGCAATTATGACGTCACTTTCAAGGTAAAATGACTGTAAAATGACTCCCAGATATCTTTCCTCAGTGGCAAGGAACATCTCAGAGTCCTTTCATTCTTTAAGGACAATGACAGCTACTCTGTTCCTTTAATTATTTTAACTGCCCATCTTCAGCTGTTATATTTTTTCTTGATATATAGAAAACAGAATTGTGTGCAGTATCACAGGGGCATATTTCCTGTGCTTTCACAAAGGTAGAGGAGAGTTTTCAGTGTTAATCTCCAGATCTTCCTGAAGATGCCCAGCATTGTGGGGCATTTTAGATACAGCCATAAATGGAATTAAAGGGCTCAGGAATCCCCTATAATAATTGGTGTGTGTATCATCCTGGCATTTGTTTTTCTTACTGTCCCTCAAATTGTGCTCCCCTAATCTTGTATTTCACTTTTATTGAAGTTATTTACCACTTTTGGGCCTGTTTTACAAGGCATGTGTAAATTTATCTTTGTTTGCCTGACATTTTTCTACCTAAAATAATACTATCTCAATGGAAATTCCTTGAGTGCTTCTCCACTTTCCCTGCATTAGAATAGAGCTTTTAGCAACTGGAAATGCCTGGGCCTCCACCCCAGAGACTGGGGGTGGGGAAAGGCAGGCATTGCTAATATCTTTAAAGCAACGTAGGTGAAGAAAACCCCACATCTAGGTAATTTATAAATGTACTTTTTAATATTGGGCCCAATCTCTGAGGATCTCACTGTTGACACTTCTGCTTCCAAATTCAGATCCGTAAGCACCAAGTCTTTTCTGAATTCTCAGTTTATGGTAAAACAGTTTTTCCAATTCTGTCCCGGTTCAGTTTTTCTAGTACTTGGTGTAATGTCTTGTCTGAGGCATTTTTGAAAGCTATTAATCATTAGCTCCTACTCATCCACAAGCTTGTGCTGCCACTCCCACTAACAACTCTCTTTAAGTCCACAGATAGGCTGGCACATCCACAAGAAACAGCTTTAATTTTTTCTTCAATTGTTGTTGAACATCACAGGAACTCAATATGGCTTTGTTGTTGACCTGGATTAATCTGTCATGATTTTGTCTTCTAGATGAGAGATGCTATCCTGTATCATCAAGGATGATTGCTGGAGCTTTGTCTCCCTTGTATTAGCTGTTTGTATTCATAGTATCTAGTCCCTTCCCTTTATCTCCCTGTATTCTAGTTGCTGCTGCGCACGCCATTGCTGAAGAAAGACGGAGTCAGAGTGGTTTCTGCCCCCTTCCATCTCAGTCTGCAAATATAAGATCAGCTTTTAAACCAGGTGTAATTTCTAGAATGTTTTTTGATAGATGTCAGAGTGTCATGTCATTAAAATCGGATCTATTAATGCCTTACTATATTTTCCTTTTTTGTTTTTAGTAATCGATGGATCCGTGCTTAAAAGCGTTGTGAAGCAGAGGTTGGCAAAAGAACGTAGAGAAGAGAAGACCAGACAGCAAGAAGGTATATTTTAGACTTTTTTTAAAAATCGGAATGAATAAGTTTTCTGTCAAGGTTACGTATTTTCAAAGTGATTTTATCTACTTTTCCTGATCCGTTTTATATCATAGATTACATTTTTTCTAGGATGTATTATATTGGATTCAATAATTATACTAAGGCAGATAAAGAAGGCCTATGAAAAATATTTGATTAGTTTAATTTTTGAAGTAGTTTCTGTTATCTCTAATTTTCTGAAAACTAAGGTCTGAACATTTCAACATTTGTAGAAATAAGCAGAATGGGGTTTCAATAAAAATGACTCTCAAAAGGAAAATGAAGTTGCTAATAATCCTAACATAAGCTTCTCAAGTGTAAATTAGGATCTAAAAGAATAATCTTTTTACACCTCAAGAGAATGCTTTTCTCAACTACTACCCATTTTTCTCTGGCCTTTGAAATCCCTTGACAAAACTTGTGCTCAGCTTTACTCAAATGGATATCATTTGTCTTTGTTTTGGTGAGGAGTTATTTCTTCCTGGAGCTCTTAAGGAGAGTATTTTAGAACTGCATAGATGCTCTCCAGGCTTTAGTGAGGGGAAATCTGACACAGGAAAACATCATGCTGTTCCAAGTGTGGTGTCGAACTCTGTGAATGTAAAACTGGCATGCTTAAATACGGTCTGCATAGCTGAGGCCTTTGAAAGAAGTTTCCTAGTAGAAGGAGAAAAAGAACATTCTGGCCATGTGTTTTCTTTTTAATTCTCATTTTAATGTATTTAGCATGTTAATCTGGTGGGGTTTAACTTCAGCTCAAATCAGCGGAAATATCACATGAAAGAAAATATTTGTTTTTAATTTGGAATTTTCGTTTGGACAGGATATGAGGGTCATCTAAGCCATCTCTGTTCTCTGGAGTTAAATGAACACCCAGTGCAAATGCTTCTTTAGTGGCCATTCTCGTTCACTTATATAATGTAATCGTTTGTTATTAGCATAGGTCATGTTATTTTTAAGAAAGAGAAGGCAATATATTAACTTTGTGGATTGTGGAAAACTTAAATATTTTCTTGGCTCTTACACCTCGAAAATGTATTTGGAATATTTCAGCTAATAAGGAAACACAACTGCTTGAAAAAGAAAGAAAGTCCAGGATCCAGTATGAAAAACAGATGGAAGAGAAGCAACGAAAACTGAAAGAACAAAAAGAAAAGGATGAGCAGCGGAGAATATCTGCAGAAGAAAAAAGGAAACAAAAATTACAGGAAGAAAGGGTACAGTACATGTTTCCTAGCCTGTTAATCAGATGCCACACGGTGTAGCCTGGCACTGGAATACTTTTTTCTTAGCCTTTCACTGCCTTTCCTGCCCCCCCCCCCCTTCCCACAATTGGCCATTCACCAGGGAACCATGGGTCCTTCTGATTTTTTGTTGTTTCTTTTTCCATTTTCCCTTGCTCCCCCCCCCCCCTTCCAGCCAAAGGACCCAGCCCCAGTTCTCTCTTCTTCCCTTCAGCAATAGAGCCTCTTGTCCCTGTCCTCTCAGATCCCTGAGTTTCGACCTGCTAGCTGAGGTAAAGAGGAGCCTCACAGGCCCGGGAAGAGAGCCCTTCCACCCTCCGGGATGTGGCCCACTGGTGTCGAGGCCCAGGGTTTGCTCTGAGCTCTATACCAGCGCCCTCATGTTCACAGACCCTTCGATAGGCCCCCATCTTACTTCTCACAGGGTCTTCTCTGACTTGAGCGCAGGCCAGTCACATGACAGTGCTTGCTCTCCCATCTGGCTTCCCCTGCCTTTCTGCCCGGCGCGCTCTTCCTCCCTGCTGTGCTGGGGCCCTGCCTCTCTCTTTACCTTCCTGGACTCTTTTGGTGTCTGGCACTCTGTTGGTATGAGTCACTGCCTTCATGATGCCCTCTCTTTCCCCTTCTGTTCCTCTTCAGTCAGTTTGTCTTTTAGTGTCCGTACTTGGGCATTTAAAGGCTGTCTTGTTCTGACGCTCTCTGACACCAGAGTTTTCTCCTGTAGGTCATTCCACTACTTTATTCTGAGGATCCTTGGCTCCTTGTGAATCTGCCATGGTCTCTGGGCCACCATTCTCTTTCTTCCTGGCATTCTCTCTTTTGCTTTATTCCAGTGATTCTCAAGGGTCCCTAAGTCTTTGTCTTCTGGTACTCCGGCTGACTGTGACCTTTTTCAGCCTGAGGCGCCTTACTTTTCCTTCCGTTTTGTCTTAGCTTTTTTCTCTCTCTCTCTCCACCACCCCCCCCCCATCTTTGGGCTTTCTGCCTATTCTCTCAGTATGTGTGTTTTTATCTCTCCCTCTTTTCTTCTGTTGCTCTTATTTTTTTTTTTTTAAGATTCACTTAGAGCATGCGCAAGAGAGCAAGCAGCACGAGTTGGGGGAGGGGCAGAGGGAGAGACTCTCCAAGCAGATTCCCTGCCAAGTGTGGAGCCCAATACAGGGCTGGATCTCAGGATCCATGAGGTCATGACCTAAGCTGAAACCAAGAGTCAGACACTTAAAACTGGCTGAGCCACCCAGGTGCCCCTGTTGCTCTAATTTTAAATTTTCTTTTTCTGTCCTTTCTTTTTGGTTTCATTTGTCCCCATGAGGCTTCTTCTCTGCAGGGCTCACTCTTTCTCCTTGTGCACATAGTTGCTCTCAACACACCTCACCCCTAGCCCCTGCCCCATCTGTGTCTCTTCCTTATTCTAGGACTGTTCCCATGCCATTTCTTCCCCACCCCTGGTCCACTATCCCTTCTCTCTCTTTCTGTACCTTTTTCTATGGTGGTTTATGCTGTTTTTTCATATTCCAGTATTTGATGAACTCTCGTTCAGAATTTCTATCACTTGCCATCTTCCTCTGTGAAAGAGCTCCTTAATTTACTTCTGTGGTGAAGAGAATGAAGGCCAGAGATAGAGAGATTTGAACTAAGAGACTGAAAGAATGTAAAACAGAACACTGCACAGTGTCCCTGGAGGAGAGAGACTCCCAGGGACCGAGAGAAAAAAAGGCAATCTTAGCGAAAGAGGAACCTGAGAGAGATCCCAGAGAAAATGTGATAAAACGGCACTGCAGAGGGGGAGGGAGCCAGAGGTGTGGTGGGAGAAAAGAGGCAGAGGGACAAGGAGAAAAGGGGCAAAAGAGAATCAGCCTCACAAAACTAGTGTGGTGGAGGGAAGGTGGTCCCTGACAGAGCAGGAAGGGTCCATGGGACACTGTGAGCAGCCTGCACATAGAGAATGATTCCTTAGAGCAGGGGTGGTGCCGAGGAGTTGGGGAGTGTGGACAGGAGACCTGTAGGAACCCCAGATGCTAGAGGAACCTGAGAGCACAGAGGGCCAGTGCATTTGGAAGCAGGGGCATAGGGTTCTTACGAATCAGAAATGTTTCAGTAACACAAGACGAATCACTGTTTTCAGTCTTTATTATACTTTCTGGGTTTTCAGTAATTTGAGCAACTTATTTTCTGTTAAAAAATATAGTTGTAAAATATTGCCATTAGATACATTTTACTTTAAGAATTGCAGTTGCTTTTCTCCTCAAAGGATATGGATGACTCTCCATTTTCCTAGTATGTTTATCTTTTCCCTCAGAGAAATGGTGGGGGCATTGTAAGGATGATGTTGCTATGAAACGGTCCTTGTCAGGGAAGAATAGAAAGCCTCCTGGCCCTGCAGTTGATTGCTTACCTGAGTATAGTCCACGGTCTGTTACAGCACAAGGACTTGAAATATCAGAAAGGAAAACCAGGCATGCCTCTTTCTGGCAGTGGGGTGGTTTTGCCACAGTGTGGTGTTTACAGTTGAACAGCTATTACCCTGAGCCCTTGCAATTAAAGTTGAGGTCAAGGGGCACCTGGCTGGCTCATTCAGAGGAGCCAGCTTGACACTCTTGATCTTCTGAGTTGGAGTCCCACGTTGGGTGCAGAGATGACTTAAATAAAGAAAACTTAAAAAAAATAAAGTTGAGGTCAAGACAGACACATCGATTATCTTTCTTTTAAACTTTATTATCACTAGAATTTAAGATGTTACAAACATGGGTATTATAGATGATTCTGGCATAGATTTCACTTATGTGTGTGTTAGTTGATTTTTTTTCCCTGCCTGATTCTACAAAGAATTTAAGGTGTATTTTATTTTATTTTTTAAAGATTTTATTTATTTAGAGAGTGAGCAGGGGGAGGGGCAGAGAGAGAGGGAGACAGAATCCCAAACAGACTCCATGTAGAGCGCAGAGCCCAGTGTGGGGCTCCATCCCATGATCCTGAGATCATGACCTGAGGCAAGATCAAGAGTTGGACGCTTAAGTGACTGCATCACCCAGGCGCCCCTTAAGGTGTATTTTAAAAAACATACCACAGGGGCACCTGGGTGGCTCCGTTGGTTAAGCATCTGCTTGGCTCTGGTCGTGATCCCAGGGTCCTGGGATTGAGGCTCGCATCGGGTTCCCTCCTTCTCCTTCTCCCTCTGCCTGCGACTCCCCTTGCTTGTGCGCATTCTCTCTCTCTGTCAGATGAATGAATGAATGAATTTCCTAATGATATAAGTAGAGGGAAGCACAGTCTGTTCCTCAATTCATATCCACAGGGTTAAAGCCTGTTATTTAAGAGAAGCATTGACATTGATTGATACCAGAAATATGATCTTCAATTATTTATTTTTTTGGTCTTCATTTTTAACTATTACCTGATGCCCCCCCCCCCAAATTTTGCTTGATACAAAAATTTGGTAATGGGTTGGTTTTCTAATCCACAGATCTAAATTATACTAACCAATATAATGAATGTGTAAAAATTTGTTGGCATTTATTTTAAATAGGAGAAATTTAAAGCTGTTCTCTATCGGACATCGGAACGGAGCAACCGTGTTGATCATCGTCAAAAAAGATGGTCATGGGAAGGCTCTACATCCATGAACCCAGAAACCAAAACTGGTAATTGATACCACTGTTTAACTTTAAGTTCATTCATGTTCATATTTAGATATTGGCTATTGCTGCAAGGTTGCATTTACAACAAGGTTTTGAGCTTTGTATCTTAAGTGAAAATGCTGCCATGTGTGTGGTGTGCACAGTAAATTTATGTCATGTAAAACTGCAGAAGAAATTTTATTATCATTTTATCCAGTATATCCAAAATCTTACCATTTAAATTTGTAATCTCTGTAAAAATGATTAAGCTTTATACAGCTTTATCCAGTGCCTATTTTAAAAATAAGTCTGCCCCATTTACTATTGAGGGTACTCTAAATTTTCCTACAAATGGACAGAATTCTACAGTTTCTTAAAACTCAAATTTATATTATTTGTAAGGAATGACCATGAACATTGTGCACCTAATTAATGCACATACTCCATAGAATTACATCATGAACATACTTTGTTTCAGCTAAGGATGCTTTAAGTATGAGTACAGTAAATATTACATCTTTTCTCAGCTAATACACGTTCTGTATCGACTGAAAAACTTGAACAAGAGACTTCTGGTTTACACAAACAAACGTCTGTGTCATCTGCAGGTCTTCAAAATTCTGTTGCAAAGAGTAAGTAGTTATTTCATGTATTCTGAATTTTAAACCAATGAAATAAATTCTTTTTATATCTTTTCACAGTACCACTTATCCTTTAGATTGTGGAACCTTTAGATGTATTTCAGAGGAGCACCACCTTGTTTTATAGTAGATAGAGATGATCATTACTATTTTGTATTTTCATCAGTATTAATCCTTGTTTCGTAATTTGCATATGAATCATCAGAGGGGTTTGTTGAGTTCAGGTAGCCCAAACTGAAACATATTTTGACCAAAAGACATTGCCATTACCTGGCACAATAACTTCTTATAAAAGTGATTCATAGTGTACCTAACCAGTAAATGAAATCCATTTTCCTAGAGAGTAGCTAGACTGGTAATTCAGTTTCCATTAAGTTTTACGAATATCACCTCATTTAAGGGAAATGTTAGCATACATACAGCAGTGGACAGGTTGATCTGCTTCACATGTGTCATACTTGTTTATTCATGACAACCTTGTAGAGGTGACAGGCAAGTGTAATTACCTTCCTGGCTTTAGAGTTAAGACCTCAAGAAATTCAGTGCTCTTTACTCTGTCATGCTTATGGTTTATATTTTGGTCATTTGATAGATGGATCATGATGTTGAAATTGCACATTTCAATAATAAGCCTGTGCTTTCCTCCAAAGCAAATAAAGTGGTACCCATGTTTAATGAGCAAAGCGTTGCTAACCTCTACTTTACAACTCTTTGTAGTGCTAATGTGGTGGGTTTTTTTTTTTTTTTTTAAGATTTTATTTATTTGACAGAGACACACACAGTGAGAGAAGGAACACAAGCAGGGGGAGTGGGAGAGGGAGAAGCAGGCCCCTTGCCGAGCAGGGAGCCCGATGCGGGGCTCGATCCCAGGACCCTGGGATCATGACCTGAGCCAAAGGCAGGCGCTTAACGACTGAGCCACCCAGGCGCCCCGCTAATGTGGTGTTCTTGAAAAGACAAAGAGATTATCTACTATGACTACCTCAGATAACCTTTTGCTTCTGGTGTTTGCCCTTTTTTTTTTTTTTTTTAAGATTTTATTTATTTATTTGAGAGAGACAATGAGATAGAGAGAGCATGAGAGGGGGGAGGGTCAGAGGGAGAAGCAGACTCCCTGCCGAGCAGGGGATCCCGGGACTCCAGGATCATGACCTGAGCCAAAGGCAGTCGCCCAACCAACTGAGCCACCCAGGCGCCCCGGTGTTTGCCCTTTTAATTAGTGTTCCTTTTTTTAAAAAAAATCCTTCACCTGACTGTCAGTGACCATTTCTGGCTTGTTGTGCATGGTGCTTCCCACTGATAATTGAAATGGATTAGGCAGCCATACCCATCAATGAATTAAAAAAAAATCCTTTCCAGAGGCAAAAACAGAAGTGATCTTGGCAGGAGGAAGACACAGCAAACATATTCCACATCATTCCCACTTTAGTGCCTTATGAATTGAAAACAAAAGGACATAATTACGATTTGAATTTAAAAATATTTTTTTAAAGATTTTATTTATTTGAGAGCAAGCGAGAGGGTGATAGGGCACAAGTGGGGGGAGGGGCAAAGGGAGAGGGAGAAGCCGACTCCCCACTGAGCAGGGAGCCCCCCATCTGGGGTTATCACATTTTTCTTTTAATGGTCTAACAAAAGTTGATCCACTTATCACCCTAACCCTCGATAGGCTTTCCCAGAGTACTTACGTGTAGCCTGGGTTCATTTGTAGGTTAATGTGGGAAGGTTTTCTCTAGCACCTTCCTTGTCATATAATGAAATTAATTTATTATTCACCAGTTCAATCCTTTAGAAAAATTAGATAGCATTCATTGTAATGTTGTATTTATATACTTTCATTTTATATATGTATATACATTCATTTTGATATATATTATTTGTTTCATAAGCATTCACTCTGTTTCACTATCTAATTGCTTTGAGGAGTTAGCAAATATTTCTTCCACAGATGTGTATGACGTTTTTAATATAATGAGCAAATGCTAGTATGCTTTTATTAATAGGTCTCATGCTGTATTAATGAGACTTGTAAAGAGGAGGAACAGGTGATTACTTTTAGGATAATTAGTTGTTACACTGAAAGAGCAATTCCAAGTAACTTTTTAAATGATTTTTTTACTAGTTTTTAATACAAGAAGGTATGTGTGGAAGATACTTTGTGAAATAACTTACAGGTACAGTATATTGAGCACTCTGAAACAGTGAATGTTGTAATTAATGATGTCAGGGAAAATAAAATCTGTATTGGTGGTGGCTTACCTTTGTAAAATCTCTGCAAATTGAAATGAAACCTGTTTGATCCAGAGAGATGAACATTTCACACTCAAATGAAGTTCATAATCTAATAACCTGTAATATTTTAAGTAGCCCTGTTTTAAAGCTTGGCCAATTCAAATTGTCTATTTTTCTTCTGCTCATTGCTGACTCATAATAACTGTTCACACTATCTTGTCATTACTTGCAGTATGAAAATAAAGGATGTGTGATTTAATCACATGATTGAATTCATTATACCTCTGGTTCATGCTGTTTAATTCATTATCAATTCAGGAGTTTTCAAATGATGCTATGTTGTCAATATGTACAGGTCCCCAATTTAATTTATAGGTTCCCAAAAGAGAAGTTATTCTTTAAGTAGACACTCCTCAGTATCCTGAGCCAGAATATTTCAAGTGAAGTGGCAAAGTGTCTACACAAACTGTGTTTTTCATTAGTTTGCTAAAATGCCATCTGTGCCAAAAGTTAATGATCATTTTTGTTTAAAATAATAACCATTATAACTAAAGTATACATTACTTTAGTAATAGATATCATGGATTGTGTCCAAAATTAAAAGTTGTATATTCCCAATTTGGGAATGTTGATTTTGTCAGGTAGTATTAGACATTGTCCTCTTAATTTTTAACTGTTTTTTTCCTAATTAATTTTATTTTCCAGATAAAGAGTAAACTAGTTTTAAGTTTGGGGATGTAGAATCTCTACATAAGATTTGAAATTTAAATTTTTACAATCAAGAGTAGAGAAGATAAATGTTTGAAAAGAGGAGTGACTCACTCCTGAAGTAATATATTTAAATAATTTGTAAAAAAAATAATATTCCTTTGCCTTTGATCTCCAGAAAAAATAGAGAAGAAGAGAAGCTCATCCTTGAATAGAAGATCTAACAAATTGCAGACACCTGGAGAAACTGTACAAGTAGAAGAAAAACCAACTGGTTAGTTATTTCTTTTTTTTTTTTTTTTTTAAAGATTTTATTTATTTATTTGAGAGAGAGAGAGAGAATGAGAGACAGAGAGCATGAGAGGGAGGAGGGTCAGAGGGAGAA